TCCATTAACTCCTAGACTATCCAAAAACTCCAATTTTTAACATTCACCAAAGTCCTTTAATTGACCTTGATCAGATGAAACCAGAGTTTTCCGGTTGTTCGGTGAAATCACAGTTTTAAGCTGTTATATGCACTATGGGCACGCTTCCCCAACAATCCTAATTTCAATCAATTTTCATCAGAAATCATAATTCTTAGTCCTTTGTATCATTTATAACTTATTCCCAAACCTAGAGCTCGAAATTCATTCGGCACGCTTTACGATGCAACTGTACCACTGTATTTTTATCTGATAAAAACACTATAAATCAAATTTTCAGAAACTTGCCTAACCACTCAATTTTCATTCTGAATCCATTTCCAGGGTTAGTTTTCCCGTTTGAGATCATCTACTCAAATTTCCTTTCCTAGGGCTACATGTTTGGCACATTACCATTTTACCCTTTTTACGTATTTTGACCCCGAATTCAGAATTTTCACTAATCTTACCCTTTACTCCATATTTTAAATATAATTATATGATTTAAAATTACGATGTTATATTCACCCCTCCTTTTTGAATCTCATGTCGGAGAATTACGTATGTTCATACATGTCCGCTAACTCAGAATATAGCCTGAGAATCTCATCCTCCCACTCCTAAGTAGCCTCCTCAGGTGTACGTCCTTTCCACTGAATCTTTAACATTGGGATAACCTTGTTTCTCAACCTCTTCTCATTGTGGTCAAGTACCTAAATAGGACCTATATGAGTCTTCAAGTCCTCCCTAATTTTAATATCGTTCGGTATCACCACATGTGATTCATTCGGAACATAACGTCGCAGCTGTGGTACATGAAAAACATCGTGTTGATTCGACAACTCTGGAGGTAAGGCAAGCTGATAGGCCACTAATCCCACTCTTTTCATAATCTGATACGGCCCAATAAACCGAGGACTCAGCTTCCTTACTCCCAATGCACGTCCAACACCTGTGACCGAAGATAACCGCATAAATACATGGTCTCCTTCTTCAAATTTCAGCAGTCTATGTTTATTATCATAAAAAACTTTCTGTTGATTCTGTGCTTGTTTAAGTTTCTCTCTGATCATCTCAATCTGCACTGTAGTCTCCTGCACAATATTCGGACCAAACCTTTCTTTATCCCTTACCTCTGTAAGAACTCGCACCGTTAATCAAAGACTTTAATTAATTAAATATGAGATTAATGAAATAATTCCATAATTGACTCTAATAATTATGAGAAGGCTTAAATAATTATGGTAAGTGGTTAATAACGTTGAAAGTTGCTTTTCTGACGAAAAGTGCAGATACCAGTTCTGCTCCACGTTATAAATGCGTACCGACGAAGTATCTCGGAAAAGTATGAAAAGTGTGTATATATTACTAGAATAATATATAGGACTTCTATAACAAGTTTGGAGTCAAAATAATGAGAACTGGTGCCAGAACTAATACTGGCTAAGTAAAAGAGCATAACAGAAAAGTACTGTGAAAAATAAAATAAAAATATGACAAAATCTTAGAAAAATAGCTAGGTTCAGAATTCTAAGTTTGGGATTAAAATACTAAGCGTAGCTATTAGTTCTAATACAGTATGCTTAAACTTAAACTGCCTATATATACTCTTTTTGCACACAACCCTAGGCCATAATCAGCCTTTCTACGTGGGTTATGAGTGTGAGTTGCTGCCCTTTCCTTCTCCACCATTTCTTGACCTTCCAAGTAGCATTTTTTCATACTTTCTTCACCAAAACTCCATAAATAAGTGTGATCAAGCATTCTGTGGGAGGAAAATGAGGTCTTGAGGGTGTGAGTAGGTTGTGTTTTCAGAATTTGGGGGCTGCCACTTGATTGAGTGTTGTGGAGACATTGTTCCTTGCTTGTGTGGCTTCAAGAAGCCACCTTTGAAGAGAAAGAACCATTGTGGTGTGCCATTTTCGTGCACCTTCAAAGTCAGAACCTTTGGAGTTGATTGGTGAGCTCCAAAAGCAATCTTTTCTGAGTTTTGAACCTTGGGTAAGCTTCACCTACCTTGATCATGAGTTTTCATTGCTTAAAGGTTGAGTCTTGGCTTGTTAATGAGTTATTTAAGTAACTAACATGATCATGAACCTAAAAGGGTATAAAAATGCATGCTTGGACGTCCTTATGTGTTAAAAATGGAACCTTGGGAGTGATATCTCGCGAAATGCAGAAACTGCATTCTGTCGCGAAATATCCGGATATGGGGTTGGAAATATCCGGATATTGATATTCGGATACGGGACTTGTGATATGCTAGCTATTATTACCGTTATGATTGGATGCTGATATGGCTATCTTTTTGATTCTGTTTGTATTGTTGAGACTCTGTTGGGCCTTGTTGCCTTATTTGGTGAGTATGTGGGTTGTCCATGCCATATTGATTGACTATGTCTTATTTTAGATTCAAGTTGTATTAATGTATCAAAATTATGGTTCGGACTACGGGTTGTAGTTTCGTGACTTAGATACTCACATATTTATATTATGAGGTTATTCAATGAATTTAGCTTTATTACAATTTACATATTTATGAAAAAGGATTAAGTAATCAACTTGGTAATATTAATGATATCATAATTGAAAAGAAAAGTTTATTCCACATTTTTAATTAAGCGTAGCTTAATACGATGACATGTTAACAAACCGGGTATACACGGGGTGTTACAACCTCAGTCCAATAAGTAGGAGTCCGACATCTCTGTCCATACAATGCCTCATACGGTGCCATGCCCAGACTGGAATGAAAACTATTATTATACGATAATTCCACCAATGACAAGTATCTGTCCCAAGCAGTACCCTGCTCCAGTGTGCAAGCTCTCAACGTATCCTCAAGTGTCTGTATGGTCCTCTCAGTTTGACCATCAGTCTGCGGGTGATACACAGTGCTTAGCCTGAGCTGAGTGCCAAAAGCCTGTTGCAAAGCTTCCCAAAAGCGCGAAGTAAATTTTGGGTCCCGATCACTGACAATACTAACCGGAATCCCGTGGATCCTTACAATCTCATTCACATAAAGTTTTGCTAGTCTCTCCGTAGAGAAATCTACTCGCACTGGCAGAAAATGTTCAAACTTTGTAAGTCTATCCACAATAACCCAATAAAATCTTAACCAACCTGAGTCCGAGGAAACCCTATAACAAAATCCATAGAGATGCTCTCCCATTTCCACTCTAGTATATCTAGTGGCTGAAGTAAACTAGCAGGTTTCTGATGTTCTATTTTAACTTTCTGACAAACTAAACACTTCGATCTGAACATTTTAGACAAAAAGGTATCTATCTATCTATCTATCTATCCATCCATCCATTAGAACACTGCACACTGTACTATTGGATAATCTAGTTTTCTTCAAAAATAGTGTTTGAATAAGTCACAAAAAGAAATGAGCAAGAAACAAGCTGTGAATTTGGATGACGAGCAAATCGCGAAGTTACGTGAGATTTTCTGTTCATTCGATCGGGACAACGACGGAAGCCTCACACAATTGGAGTTAAGTTCGCTTCTACATTCATTGGGTTTGAAGCCAAGCCATGAGCAATTAGAGAGCTTTATTCAGAAGGATGATACCAACAACAACAGACTTGTAGAATTTTCGGAGTTTGTGGCGTTGGTGGCGCCAGAGCTTCTACCGACAAAGTCGCCGTACTCTGAGGAGCAGTTGAGGCAGCTGTTTAGAATATTTGATAGAGATGGAAATGGGTTCATCACTGCGGCAGAGTTGGCTCACTCTATGGCAAGACTTGGGCCATGCTCTCACGGCGGAGGCGTTGACTGGGATGATTAAGGAGGCTAATACTGATGGTGATGGCAGAATCAGTTATCAGGAGTTTGCTCAGGCTATAACTTCTGCTGCTTTTGATAATTCATGGGCTTAACAACCCACTCAGCCTATTTAGAGGTTGAAGATTGAAGAAGATCTGGGAAGAAGATTTAATCGATTAAAGAGGGATATTTAATCGATTAAATCTCGAGTCAACTATTTTTGTCTATTTTGACTATTTAATCGATTAAATATTCAAGTTAATCGATTAAAGAGAGGCAGATTTGTAGATAGTTCTAGGTAAGCGGCAAAATGGTTATTAATTAATTAATGAGGGACAAAAGGGTCAAAAAGCCCCTTTTAGCTTATTTAGAGATAAGCTTATTGACTTATTTATAGACTTTTTTTTTCTTTTTTTTTGTTGGGTACAAAACTTATTTATAGACTTTAACGTATTCCTACCCCTTACGACGACAACCCCAACCATCCCTGCGCATCTTACTACATAATTTAATAAAATCGATCTTTTGCCCTAAATTTATCCCGTAAAAAGTTAGAAAATATTACTCTCATTTTACATAAGATAACTTCTCTCCACCCAAGTGTGGTAGCTCAGTTGGTAGCATAAGGACTGAGTGATGGGAGAGGACCTCAGTTTGAATCCCACCAACACTATCTGGGGAGGGCATAAGTACCGTAATCCTTGGACTTGCACTCGAACTCTGGATTAGTCCCATAGGCGGCTCAAAGAGTCGAACCCGTGAGGATACCGGAGGGTTCTGATTCGCCTCAAAGAGGTAATTAAGATCAGTTACAAAAAAAAGAAGAAGATAACTTCTCTCTTACTCTCTCGCTTTGATTTTCGCATCTCACATTTCTTTTTTCTTTTTTCTTGTAATGGTGAGACCCACCCATTTTCTTTAGATAACTATCTTATGTAAAAGGAAAATAATAAAATCCTAAAAAGTTTTCAAATTTTGCGTAAAATGTCTAAAGGCCCACAATTTTGACAATGGGCTGCGCTCAATGTGGGCCTTGACAATAGGATGAGAAGCTCATAGGTTTTGTTACAATAGGCAACTGCTGAGATGAAGTAATAGCGAAACAAACCTAACGGCAGGAATTACGTTTTGTTAGGGGAAAGTGAAAAGGAAAAGAAAACACGTCACTGCGCTCGTAAGTTGTGGCGGCTCCCAACCCAAGTGCAAATAAGACGGTAAAGAAACTTGCGCAACAGGCAAAGGACCTTGAAAACTCAGGTAACAATGTATATGGGTTAAATATTCAGCAGAGGATAGGCCTAAAACGCAAACCATTCAGGTAAGAAAAAGAGAGATAGAGAAAAGGATCATGGTGCTGTGGGAGATTTCACTGGCAACTGCTTATTTTTTGGGCCTGAAGCGGACTTACAAGCTGGCTCTTAGGATTCAGCGCAGGATCATAACCCCTAAGCACTCCAACTTTCGTCAATTTGTTAACCGGTACTCTTCTTTTTTTCATTTTTTATAGCCATTCTATTTGTTTTGTTCTTTCTAGCTGGCTACACCTAGTGGGATAAACTTTAGTTGTTGTTATATTCTATTTGTTCGTTCTGTTATTCAAGTTAAGAATGAAGATGGAAAAGTGGTCGGGGAAGAGTTTATTTATTTCATGGTGATGCTTCCTGCTTAAAATTGGAAAAATGCAGGTAAGGAATAGTCACGTTTTCACTTTTTTAATTTTATATGACTTGAAAATTCAGGTAAGCATTATATGTTAGAATTTTTATTTTTTTTAATTATTGTAGACTTCAATCTATTGTAGTTTTACGGGCATTATATACATCAACTTCGTTAAGAGATTCTTTTGTTTGGGATTGGATATCTGTAAAACCTATGATGAGAAGGAAATTAGGTTGATAAGTGTTTTTTTTTAGGTTGATAAGTGTTTTTTTTTTTTTTTTGAAATATTCTAATAGTTTTATTCTTTCGTAACTAGTCCGACGGGATAAGTCCCAAGATTAAAGTTTTAAATCCCTTCCAAAGATGATACCAGGGAGAATCAATCATATATTCTCACTCTCACTTAGTCAGTTGAGCTCCATCATTTGGTTTATTAGGTTGATAAGTTTAGCGAGCCAGATGTGTGAAATAATCACTCTATACTACTTGCCTTATAAACAAGGAGTGGTGTGAGCCACATAAATCCTAGTCCTTCAAAGTTTGTAGGACCTTTAATAGGAAACACGACAACTTTTGAGATATCAAGAATCATGTTTTTAAGAAACCGTTATGTTCTGATTTCGTATAATCCTAATTTAACTTTTCATACATTAGATTCTTAGTTTTATATGACTTGAAAATCTTTGAGAAGTCATAATTGTGTGATCTTTCATTTTCCTCTTTTTCTTTTCCACTGCTTTGCCTTTGCCATGAACATATCAATTCTATCTGTTTATCTTAATAGCTATTAGCTCTGCCAAATTACAATTTCTTTATTGGTGGTCTTCATGTTTTGGCACTTCACAGACGAACACGCGATGTATTTGATGTAGCAATAAAAGTTCATCGGAACATTCAAGAAAGTGACATAAAAGTAGGTCGGAATATGGGGAAATTCATTTTGCGATGGCCGTATCAAATGAAACCATCTGTATTACCCACCGATCGTACTAGCTCAAGTATAAGAATGTCAAAGCTAATTGCAGCTCGTACTTCCAACCAAAAAACTCTTGGTCACTATCGATTATTCAAGAGGGACTCTGATAGTAATTTATTTAACTCATCATCAAGAATATGGCTAAAGCCATTCCCCACCATTGCAAGGATGACGCGACCACCAAGTCCTGCTGGGACTATTACACATAGCCGACACTTCAACATCTATGCTCCTTATGTTTTTAGACCAAACTACAGAGAAAATTGGTTAGGGGGTGTTATTAGGAATGACATCATGCAATTCATGCTGCAAAACTAACGGCTAATTTCTTTTCTAGTGGGGAGTACATTGGTGTGTGAGATACTGGAAAATGATCATTGAATATGGAAGCGGCTTTATATATTCTTTCCCTGACCGAACAATTTGTTTTTTTCTTTTTAATTCTCTTTGGAGTTTGTATACTGTTGAGCTGTGATGCATTTGTTTTTTGTTTTGGTTTAAAGAACTAACTGCTGATGATATGGCAGATAATCATTCTGTTGATTAATAATAGAGGACATTTTTTATCTTTTAATTTTTTTTTCTTTCAAAAAATGCTTTGTTACAAGCAGCCTTGCCGTATAAATGTTCCGGATGTGCCACACTAACCTAATCCACTGGACCGGCCATTACAGTACAAATAAGAGGTTACATTCCTATATTCCTAAATGAGATTTTTAGACCATCATGGTAGAGGATGTTAGGCCGTACCATTGTAAAAGTTTTTGGTCAGACAGTCAGAATTCGTAGCTATATATTTGAAAAAACAATGTTCTTAGAGAATAAAATTATTTAGTATGATTTTCTATCAATTTGCAATCTACTGGAATACTCTCATAGTAACGTGATGCAACCCAGCCCAACCAACCCAAGCCCAATCGGGTATACAAGAGGGACAAGAATAGAAGGGTATGGATTACAACTGAGGCTGCTGATCAAGGCCCAATCAACAAAGGCCCTGTTGCTGATGCTGACTCAGCAATTCTGTTGCAACCGAATGAGGGAACGCAATAGAACGTGCGTGGGGAGGATAAATGAAGGCTGCTGATGTGAGAGAGAATTATCTGGAACCTGAATTGAGAACTTGAACCTTGGGAGAGAGTGGAGCCTCTCCAATTGCTTCACAACTATCATTTCCCCTTTGCTTGTAATTTCAATTTCAGCATTTCTGTTGTGGATTTGTAATGAGAAAGTTGAGCTATATGACTATGTAATTTCCCTTATAGCTTGTTATTGCTATTGAAACTGAAGCTTGTATTACTGTAATTCTGTTTCTGGTCAATTTATAATCAATATAGTTGCAATTGGTGTTATTGCTCTACTGTTTTAGTGTGATTGTGAACTGGTCCGTATCAAATTGGTATCAGAGCTCTGATCTAGGAGCTCTGTGGGATGGTCGTCACTAGAAATATGGAAAATCGTGTTGAAGCTATGGAGGAAAGGCTGCGCAGGATCGAAGCTCAAAACGTTGAGATACTAAGGAGAATGGAGGCTAGCAAAACATGTGTGGTACAAATCCTTCAGAGACTGGACAAAATGGCGAGACCAAGGGGTAGTGGTTCTCACGAAGAGAACAATGGTTCTAATAGGGAAACATCTGGAATGCATGGACAGAGATTGAATCCGGTCATTTCGACGACCAGGCGTTTAGAAATACCCTTGTTTCACGGAGAGGACGTGTATGGATGGATAAATAAAGTAGAGAGGTATTTCAATGTCAACGGTTTAGCTGAAGAAGACAAGTTAGCAGGGGTTATGGTGACGCTGGAGGCTGGAAGGGGAAGCCTTGCAGTGGTATCTATGGTGGGAAATAAACAACCCAAACACGAGTTGGGAATTTTTTCGACGAGAAGTCTTGAGCAGGTTCCAACTGGAAGCTCTGGACAACCCTTATAGGGCTTTGTATACACTCAAATAGATGGGAACGGTGGCGGAGTTCAGATGTGAATATGAGAAGGTGATTGGTGCATTGCGTTTTGAGGATGAGGAGCTGTTGAAAGGGGCGTGGCTTAATGGCGTACGCTATAGCGTTCGCGAGGAACTGATGATGAGTCGCAACATCAGCTTATCGGAGATGATGAAGTATTCTCTGAAAATAGAGAAGAGGAATGACGCGTTGAGGGACGAAGGCGTGGGGACAGGAGGACAGGTTGGGCCAACGGGGCCAGGCAAGGGGAATCAGACCCAACGTAATTGGGCTGGCCAGTATACCTATAGGGGAAGTAACTGGAGCGGGTCGGGCTCTTTTAATCCTTCCAATCCGAGTCGGGTCATGGGGCAAACCAACTCAAATAACCTAAATCAGTCAACTAGAGCACCAAACGAAGAGCAAATGCGAATGGAGGCCACGAAGGGGTCGTCTGGCACCGTCAACGCACACAGCAGTGCTGGACTCGCGACGGAGAGTCAGACGAGCAACAATCAGCGTCTCTCACCGGCGGAAGTCAGGGATCGTCAGGCTAAGGGACTATGTTTTACTTGCAACAGACGATGGAATCCGACTCATAGATGCCCGTTCAAGCAACTCCAAGTGATGATCGTCGAAGACGAGAACGACGATGAAGGACAGGGGGTTGAGGCTGAGGTCAGTGGTTGTAACGCCCGACCGCTTCAAGAATCAATGACTATCCCCACATACTAACACGAGACTTTTCAGTGTGCTTTTTCCTCACTCGCACACTTCCCGGAAAAACTTCCCAGGAGGTCACCCATCCTAGAATTGCTCCAAGTCAAGCACGCTTAACTGTGGAGTTCTTCCGATCCGAGCTACCAAAAAGCAGATGCATCTTGTTAACGTAGGTAGTACCAATTAATTCATATAAGCTATCCCAAACTGTGCAGTCTTATACCTGCACAGCCTTTGGAATCCCTCTCTTTCAAGTGTCGATTCGATCCATTCATGCATGTAACCCCTCGCTGGAAGCCTGTCAGGAGCCGCTCCTTGTCCGTGCCTCTTTGCATCGGCGATCACTCCCTGCCCTCGTCAGCGCTTGGGATGTTACACTGGTCACGAAGGAGAAGACCTACCTAAGGAGGACGACGCGACTGCCATGCATCTCTCAATGCAATGCTTGCTAGGGCTCGCTTCAAACCAAACACTTAAGGCATGAGGAGAAATTTAGGGATCGAAGGTCGTTGTGATGATCGATTGTGGAGCTTCGAGCAACTTCATAGGAAAAGGAGCGACCGAGAGGTTGGGACTGGTCGTTATCGAAACCCAATCGTATAACGTGGAAGTGGGTGACAGTCATAAGGTATGCTATCAAGGGGTATGCAAGGGGGTCACCATTTCGCTTCAGGGAACGATGATTGTACAAGACTTTTACATCTTTGATTTGGGGAGTACAGACGTCGTTCTAGGGCTCGAGTGGCTGACTCAGCTCAGAGAGATCAAGGCTAATTTGAAGGACCTAACTCTGAAGTTTATGAATCAGGATTGGGAGATTTCTATCAAGGGGGATTCCTCACTGTTCCGTTCAGAGGCTTCGTTAAAATCTGTGGTAAAGGCCTTGCATGATCACTGTTAGGGGTTTTTCCTAAGGTCAGAGGAGGAAAGAGGCACAGGGGATGACACTCCATGGGAAGATTTGGAAGGGTTGCTGGCTGAGTTCGAGGATGTCTTCCAAAAGCTTACTGGGTTACCACCAAGAAGGCAACAGGACCATGCAATCAATCTAAAGCCAAGGAGCATGGCACCTAACATACGTCCATACAGGTACCCCCACTATCAGAAATATGAAATAGAGAGTCTGGTAGCTGAGTTACTAGGGGATGGGTTGATTAGACCAAGCACCAGCCCCTATTCCAGCCCGATGATCCTTGTTAAGAAGAAGGACGGGAGTTGGAAGGTCTGTGTTGACTACAGAGCCCTAAACAAGTTGATCATTCGGGATAAATTTCCAATTCCAGTTGTTGATGAGTTGCTAGATGAGCTTGGAGGCTCAATGATTTTTTCTATGCTCGACCTGAATTCTGGGTTCCATCAGATCAGGATGCGCGAAGAAGATATACCAAGGACAACCTTTAGAACAGATCAAGGGCATTACGAGTACCTGGTAATGCCCTTTGGTTTAACAAATGCCCCTTCGTTATTTCAAGCTCTTATGAATGATTTTCTTCGGCCCTTTCTGAGGAAGTTTGCATTAGTGTTTTTTGACGATATCATGATTTACAGTAAAAGCAAGAGGGAACATTTGGGACACTTGCGTCTGATATTTGAAGTTTTGCGGTCTAACTCTCTAGTGTGTAGTAGGAAGAAATGCAGCTTCGGTAAGGATCAAATGGAGTACTTGGGGCATGTTATAACGGCCCAAGGAGTTAGTGCCGACCCTAGCAAGGTCCGGGCTATGAGGCAGTGGCTAGCACCCAAGAACATCAAGGGGTTGCAGGGGTTTTTGGGACTCACAAGGTACTATCGGAGGTTTGTGCAAGACTATGGGAAGATTGCAAAACCACTGACGGAGCTGCTTAAGAAGGATGCCTTCCATTGGACTGAAGAGGCAGAGAGGACCTTCGAGTTGTTAAAGGAAAAGATGAGTACGGTCCCTGTTTTGGCTTTGCCTGATTTTACCAAGTTATTTACCGTGGTAACAGATGCGTTAGAAAAAGGGATAGGGGCTGTTTTGATGCAGGGTAACAGGCCTATTGCGTTTTTGAGTCAAAGTTTCTCTTCACGAGCACAAGGAAAATCGGTCTATGAGAAAGAGCTCATGGCCATAGTCGTTGCTATGCAAAAATGGAAGCACTATTTGATGGGAGGCATTTTGTCATCAAATCTGATCAGAAGAGTTTGAAGTTTTTGACGGATCAAGCAGTGCTAAATGAGGAGCAACAAAAATGGGCTGTGAAGTTACTTGGGTTTGACTTCGAGATACAATATTACCCTGGCAAGGAGAATTTGATTGCCGATGCACTCTCTAGGCAAATGCAGCTAGACAGTATCACCAGGTTACAGCTACTAGCATTGGAGGACTTGGAGAAGGAGCTACATGATGACAGTAAGCTCAGGGGCATTATACAAGCTTTGCTAATCGATAGGGAAGCTCATCCAGGTTTCAAGTTGAGGGAGGGCAAGTTGTATTACAATGAAAGGTTAGTATTACCTCAAAATTCCAAGTTTATTTCTACCCTTCTCCATGAATTCCATGACTCCAACTTTGGAGGACATTCTAGTTACTTTAGAACATAGAAAAGGCTGGCTGGCTTGGTATATTGGGAGGGTATGAAACGAACAGTTAGGGAGTATGTGGCAGCTTGTATAATTTGCCAACAAAGCAAGGCCCAGAATCTGACCCCAGCAGGGTTGCTGCAACCGTTGCCCATCCCTGAGAAGGTGTGGAATGATATTTCTATGGATTTCATTGGGGGGCTGCCAAGGGCTATGGGGCTTGATACGATCTTGGTTTTTGTAGATCGTTTCACTAAATATGCCCACTTTCTACCTCTTAAACACCCCTATATAGCAAGGGACGTTGCTGATTTATTTGTGAGGGAGGTGGTGCGGCTTCATGGGTTTCCAGCCACTATTGTCTCTGATAGAGATAGAGTCTTTATGAGCTCTTTTTGGATGGATTTGTTCAAAAGTGCAGGCACCAAATTGCACTATAGCACTGCCTACCATCCGCAAACTAATGGTCAAACGGAGGTAGTCAACAGGTGTTTGGAGGTTTATTTAAGGTGTTTCTGTGGGCCTAAGCCCAAGCAATGGCCCAAGTGGCTCCCTTGGGCTGAGTTCTGGTACAACACCACCTACAAGGAGGCCACGGGCATGACTCCATTCAAGGCCCTCTATGGCAGAGACCCTCCCCATTTGTTGAAAAGTGAGAATTACGCATCTGCAGTTGATGCACTTTGATTTGCAAAAAAATTTGGTGCAAGCCCAAAACCGTATGACTGTGCATGCTAATCAACATAGAAAAAATGTCCAATTTATCCCAGGTGACCTCGTTTATCTGCGGCTTTAGCCTTATAGGCTCAAAACTATCGCACAGAGAGTTACTGAAAAATTAAGCCCCAGGTATTATGGCCCTTATGTTGTTTTGGAGAAGATTGGTGAAGCGGCCTATAAGGTCCAACTGCCAAGAAGCTGTCTGGTCCATCCAGTTTTCCATGTTTCCTTGCTCAAGAAGGCTATGGCTCCAGTGCCAAATGCTCAACCTTTACCAGCAGCCCTTTCCGAAGATTGGGAGTTGATTGTGGAACCAGAAAAATTAATCCAATGGCGGCTGTCCAGTACTGGAGAGTTGCAAGTACTTCTCAAATGACAGTAATTACCTGAGTTCGAAAATTCATGGGAGCCATTTGATGTCATCAACAAACAATTCCCTCACTTCCACCTTGAGGACAAGGTGCTTGAATTGGGGGGGAGTATTGATGCAACCCAGCCCAACCAACCCAAGCCCAATCGGGTATACAAGAGGGACAAGAATAGAAGGGTATGGATTACAACTGAGGCTGCTGATCAAGGCACAACTGAGGCTGTTGATCAAGGCCCAATCAACAAAGACCCTGTTGTTGATGCTGACTCAGCAATTCTGTTGCAACCGAATGAGGAAACGCAATAGAACGTGCGTGGGGAGGATAAATGAAGGCTGCTGATGTGAGAGAGAATTATCTGGAACCTGAATTGAGAACTTGGACCTTGGGAGAGAGTGGAGCCTCTCCAACTGCTTCACAACTATCATTTCCTTTCTGCTTGTAATTTCAATTTCAGCATTTCTGTTGTGGATTTGTAATGAGAGAGTTGAGCTATATGACTCTGTAATTTCCCTTATAGCTTGTTATTGCTGTTGAAACTGAAGCTTGTATTACTGTAATTCTGTTTCTGGTCAATTTATAATGAATATAGTTGCAATTGGTGTTATTGCTCTACTGTTTTAGTGTGATTGTGAAGTGGTCCGTATCATAACGATACCACGATATACCAAAAGCATGTCAAACATGTATTTCTAATTAGTTTCTCTTGATTCGTATGAAGTAATCTGCTACTTATAAGAACATATTCCTAAAATTAGTTGACCCGAAACCACTTGAAGTGTGGTATGTGGTGAAAGTAGAGTTGAAAATTAAAGTGCATTAAAGGAAGAGAAATAAGGTACATTCCTTTGCATAGTGACCACAAGATGGCTAGATCCACAGATTCAACCAATCCTACCACACCTCCTGTATAAATTAAGGGTATAACTAGTTCTGGGACCGCCTAGACAGTACAAGTGGCGTCTTAAATATGATATCTAACTAGATAATGGTGTGGTTTCGTAGTGTAAAGCCACCCATCAAGTGAAGTTGAAAAGAGAAGATATGGCCCCTAGTTTTGAGCAAATCGTTGGCTTAAGTGCTCGGTGAAAAGTGACAGCTATAATTGACCATAACTTGCTTTAAAACACACATACCCTGTTTTTTTCACTGCACCTTTATTCCTTCCGGAATGTGTTCTCATAATGTCAAGTTGACTAGCAGTATAATTAGGTTACCAAATGAGTAAAGATCTTAGTTTTCGTGTAACTTAGGGTCTTATTCATGAATTTTAAAGGATTAGAGCTCCCCAACAAGTAGTTTAATATTGGAATAGTTATTTACAAAGAAGTTAGTACCAAACGTGGCCTTTAGTTATGGGAGAGAAAGATACTCACTGTTGGTATAAAGGGGAGAACATAAGCAAAGTAGAATAGGATAGTAACATGCTAAAATCCTACAAAGGAGATATGATGCATAGAAAAGAGACAATGGAGCTCTATATCTCATTAAATAGCAGAAGGACCAGTGTTCCCAACAAATAGATTCGTTGCTTTCCTTTGTGAAATCTTGTTTAATGAACATTGTGATCTGCTTACATTCAAGTATTCAAAACATGGCACAAATTTTGAAGATATATTTCTGATTTCTACAAAAAAAAGAATTATGTTAGGTGATGCATAATAGCCTAAGTTATACATTGAAAGCAAAAAGTCCTGAAATTTATAGCTTAACTCCACTTCCGTGTCAGGTAAAACAAACTTGACGGCCAAATTAGCTCCACACATAGCTATACAAGCATTAATGAAGTTTTTGATCTATAAGGATTTGTTTACTTCACAATTCATAAATGACTAAAACCTCACGCAATTGGATAGTAGTAGGACAAAAGAAATTAAAGAAAAAAGCATTGATCATTTTAATAAATTCCCAACCAACATCAGTACCCACCTCCTTAGTCAACAAAAAATTTTAACCAAGAAAGATAAACTAGAGAATAGAGAAAGCCATGAATAGCAAAAGCAAAAGAAGTATTGAAAAGAAAAGTTAAAATATACCCATCAGAGAGCTCCCATTTTAATTTTTGCCATTGCCTTGCTTTCCATCAAAGCCTTTGGCCCCTTTTTCACGTTTCTTTCCTTTTGAAAGGAACTTGCGTTTAGTCTCTCTGTCTGCTTGCCCTTTCTCTTGCACGAAACTCCGTAAGAGCATTGCCCTTTATCTTGCACCTATGCTTCTAATCATTGCTATGACAACTTCTTTTTTTTTTTTTTGGTGAAAATTGCTATGACAACTTATTCACCCATTTATTTACACACACTATATATAAGTCTTGTATATGTTTTCTTACTGCAAAAGCTTGTTTGTTACTTTTCTGCTTGCTGCTACATTATGTAAGTCCAGTTCTTCGGTTCTCAAAGGTACCATGGTTTATAGCATGCTCTATTAGTAGGAGCTTCTTTCTGTTCTCTCAAAGTGAAAAATTTACTTGCCTTAGCAGGAAGACATAGAAAACCATGATTCTAAGATTGTTGATGCATTAGTATATAGTGTCTCCATGGCTTCTCTTGGAAATCCAAGAACTTGGATTCCATATATGAACAGCAAAGACTGTTCTCAAGGATTTTGTAGCTTGTACTGTCCACAGTGGTGTTACATAGTCTATCCTCCCCCACCGCCCTTTGAATACCCTGATGATGATTCAAGCCCAAAATTTTCCCCTCTTGTTATTGCAATCATTGGGATCTTGGCCACTGCTTTTCTTCTTGTAACTTACTATGCTATAATATCCAAGTACTGTGGCCACAGACAATCTGCACGCAGAGACAACCCTGACCCAAATGATGAATTGCAAGATAATCACAACCCCTCAATCCATGAACCCTGGCATGTTTCAACCACAGGCCTAGATGATGCTCTCATCAAGTCCATTGAAGTTTTTAAGTACAAAAAAGGTGAAGGTTTTGGTGGATTCACGGATTGTTCTGTTTGTCTCAGTGAGTTTCAAGACAATGAAATGGTCAAACTATTGCCAAAGTGCAACCATGTTTTTCATCCTCCTTGCATTGACACATGGCTCAAATCTCACTCTAGTTGCCCTCTTTGTCGTTCTAGCATATTCACTTTCAATGCTTCAGTGCTTCAGATTCCAGCCCAAGTGATAGAGCTCCCTTCAAGGAATGAAACTTCATCAGAAAATCAACATTCAAGTGAAAATGTAGCTGTTGGGAGTGGCAATGAATCTGGTGTGGTGGAAGAAGAAAGCATAATACATCATGGTAGAAGTGATCCGAAGCAAGAATTGCGTGCTTTTAGTGATTTGGGTAATTTGCAAGGCAGGCACGGAATAATTGAGATTAGAGAAGAAGGATATGAATCCATTAGAAGGTCAGTGTCTATGGATCATTCGTTTCATAGTGGTCTTTCAATTGCTAATGTTATTCATATAAATCAAGAGGAAGATTCTCAAGTAGAAGCTGGAACATCAAAGAGATTGCGAGGAGAAAGTAGCAAGTCAAGCTATAAAAGAAGGGTGTTGCATTGTGTATTGAGCCCAATTGCAATGAAGAGATCGTTTTCCAGTGGAAGTTTCTCACTTAGCAGAAGTGACAGAGGAAGACAGGGAATTATCCCTGTCTGAGAATTTCCTTTTTCTCTCTTATATTATTATTAAGAAAATGAGATTGACGAAATTTTATTGTAAATATCCTACAAAATATGATTTAATCTGTTACGGTATATTAGCCAGTGTGATCATAGTAATAGCTGGGGAAGAATAAAACAAAAGAACAAAAAACCACCATTTTAAGATTATCTTTTTTGGTTGTAATTTGGATCCATGAATTAACAGCAAATTATACGTTTCATTAAAAGTCAAATGACATGTTTCCCTTCTTCCATGAAGGGAAAGGTTCTTCTGGGCACCTCAAACTCCTCTTTTTTCAGTAGCATCTCTGCTCCACCATCGGTTTCGATTTTCTAAACTTAAAAGTGAAAAGCTAACATAAATTCACTCACACAGCATACTAATAAATCAATGTTTCACATATGGGGTGATAATTTTAGATGGGACATAATATGACCCAAACAAAGGCACTCGATTTTTGTATTGATATCGAATTTACGGGACCAGCAACTAACACGGAAAAAAAATTGTGATGTCGCTACTGGCTCTTTAGCCTGTATACTGAAACATTTTTCCCTCCTTAACCCAAAAGCTCAACAATTTATCAATCTAACGTGAAAACATGCATATGAGATGTTCGCATTCAAACTGCGCATGTATGCAGGTTCAAATCAAACATTACCCCATACGCTTCTTGCAAAGCACGACAAAAGGTAGACATGCGCTGAGTTTTGCACAAGTTATGCATGGGATAAGGTGCGCATCTTTTCATTTTAAATTGATAAATAAATTGCTGAAAGAATCAAATTAATAAAGTGTTTCTCGTTTTGCATTCCAAAATTAACTCGCAATTAACTCGTTTGAATTAAATAATTGTATAATTATATATTTATCTATTTTTATATATTAATTTAGGGATTAATATTTTTTATGTCGTAGGAGATGAGAAAATTATTTTCTACACATGAAAGTTTATGGAGTCCACATGAGGCATAATGAAAAGAAGAGAGAAAAAAAAATTTGGTCTCACACACTCTACAATATGAGAAACACTAATGATATTAGTGTATGGTTATTCATATATTTATTAATTTAACAAGTTATCTGTCATGGTAAGCCATATAATAAATAAATCATTTTAGCGTTAAGAATTTTTACTCGAATAAACAATCCATAACATATTTGAATTTTCATATTCGTATAAGATCTTGACATTACGCGAATTGGACCTACCAATCCCAATTGTCTATATCTGTACTCATACAAGGCAAATGGGTAAACTATATTTATCCTTTTCAACCTATTTAATAGACCACTTGTTTTTGTGTGACGCAGATTTTGGAGGAAGCCATAAGGTGTCCATCGAATGGGTGGTGCCAGAATGAGACATGGAGTCAGAGAATTGCAATCAGGTCCCACAGCCCTTTTAATTATTGGCGCGTGGCAATGTATGCCCTTAAGTAACTGTATCCAGTTGTTACTGTAATTGGGTCAGGCCATGAATGTTCAGATTCTCCTGGAAGCGCATCCATATTTTTTTGTTAGTGTTTCGGATGCTACTTACTAAGGTCCATAAGATAGATTCAATCGTTTAAAGCCCACATCTAGAACATTCTAGAGGGCACCCATGGCAAGTCATAGAGGCTCTTCACTGGGACATCTCTCTCTTCATGCACTGCTGCCCTGTACATTGACAGGGGACAGTTTGATGAGACAGCTCATGGGCTGACCAGCTCAAGCCCCCATGCAAGAGAGGACTCTCCTCTCTAAATACCCCTCTCACACATGGAGAGAGGATCTTCTTCTTCCCCACTTCTCTCATATGCTGTCATACACACATACTCCCCCCTTGAGCACATACATGGAAAGCTCCACTAGTGTCTTGGTCTCTACCATGACTACTATGGACACCCCTATATCAACATACTTCACCTTCCATGGAAGATATTTATGTACCACTATGAGTACATTGGCGCCGTATGTGGGGAACCATAAATTCTGATTCCCATTCTTTTACCGGAAGCTCTGAGAAAGCACGAGACTCTCTTTTCTCCCAGTTTACTCAAACTTCCAGCATCTCAACACCAAAGGGTCCAAATCATGGATCAAATATTGTGTCGACCAACCCCTCTGTACAACTGGGCGATCAAGAACAACCAACACCACAGCAACCCGCCACTTGCCGACCAATAAGGTGTGTTGAAAAGGCACCATCAGATTGAACTCTCCAACCGACAACTCTGAAGCGAAATATGCCCGAGTTAACCAAACCAGCAAAGACAATAAATGTTCACTCAACCAACCATCAAGACGTACAAAGGCAGAAAAACGTGAGATCAATCGCCCAGGAGTTGAAGAAACCGCCCAGAAGGTAGTAATCGCCCAAAAGAAAATAACAACCTCGGTGTAGAGTAACAGTCGCCCAGGAGTTGGAGCACCCAGTCACCAGCTCGGCCCGCTCGGTCACCAGCACATATCGCTTCGCACGAATGTATCGGTCGGCAAACAATCCGGTCCTGGCAACAACCCTTTGATTCAAAATCTTAACCATCAACTTGAATCACCACACCGGTCGCCACCTCCAATCGGTCAACTCGCGTGGACCGACACTCAACACTGCTTCTACCAGTCAGTAGAGAAACTTTCACGCCCACGCTCAGTCTCAGTCACAGACCACAGGCCTCTTATCTCGCCAACCAGCTCACATGGTCCACCGCCTACAGATAGACAGCCATGCAATACCGATTAGAATTAAATTCTGGTCGAAGAGGAACCATGCTTTCCTTCAAACAACCGAAAGGGAAATTCGATTGTATAATTTGTAGAGTAAACACCATTTTTGGTCCTTGACAATATCCACGAAGTCCTTTTTAGTCCTTAGCAATAAAAAAGGACCAAATTGGTCCCTAAAATTACAAAAAAGGGACACGTTAGTCCTTCTGTCAACTCCTCTGTCACGGTCAAACTAACGGTGTCTAACGTGGACTGGACGGTTGACACGTTGGAACGCTGAACGACGACGTTTTCTTCCAAAAGGGTACATAGCTTTCCAATTTTCTGCACGACGTCGTTTTATATTTGTGAAAACAAGAGGCACTAACACAAGTTACCGTGGAGAACCGTTCTTATTTCACTAAGTCTTTGCATATTATTGGAACACCATTGTTGACCTCCACTAGAAGCTTCGTTGAACGGTGAGGGTTGTCGAAGACCGTGGTTGCAGGGAAGACAATCGAGCGTGGACATTGAAGGTTGTCGAAAGGCTGGTTCTGTGGTGGTGAAGGGAAGTTCGAGTGTGCCAGTTTTCTTACATGCATTAAGGTAAGTTTTTTTTTAGAAATTCTTCAATATTTGTGGTCTCCCCTCACTTCATGTTGTCTATTCTTTGTTGGATGATGGTCCCCCATGTGCGCTCCATTGTGTGTTATTATGGTTAGGGTTTTTAAAAAAAAAAAACACTTTTTTATGTATGTGGTCTCACTACCGGGTTGTATAGTTTATTGCCATTTTTTAGTGCTTTGTGGTCCCCAATTTTTTAGTGCATGCATAATTTGTAAAGGTGAAATTTTTTTGCACGTTACTGGGTTTTATGGTTACACGGCAGTGTTGAGGGTGATGTATATGGTTATTGGCATTGTCAAATTGCTTTGTGGACCCTGATGTTCGCATGAACTTATTGTAATTGTTAAGCTTATTGTAAATGTGAGATTTTTTTGTTGCAATTTACAACCCGGTGTGTTAACATTCTATGCAAATGGCTAGAATTGTTGTGAAAATATGATTGGTTTGTGGAAGTTGTTAAAATAGAATTGTTGCAAATGGATAGTAACTGTCATGGTGTATTTTTTCTTTCAGATGGATGAATATATAGTTATAAGGTATCATCATGGGGGTGTGTTGAAGAGAGATGATAAAGGGGTCCTAACCTATGTAAATGGATTAGTGGATGACTTACCTGTATTTTTACATTCCTCATCCAATTCATGCAGTGCATTTCTGTAATGCACTACTGTTTTTTACACTTAGTGCTGTATTTTGTTGATTTGGACATCAAGAACTCATGTCCTAAAATTCTGAAATCAGGGACCAATAAGGGGCCCGTGCACTTTGTCAGGGACCAAAACGACCCTTGAGTAACATTGCTAGGGACCTAAATGGTCCTCGTTTTTTTCAATCAGTAACGAAATGCACTGGTTCCAGCAATCTATATCTGTTTGTGATACCTTTTTTTTTGTCTGTGTGTAGGGGCTGATTCCAGCACTGCAAGAGGTGATGCATGGTGCATATCATCGTTTTTGTGTGCAGCATGTTTGGAAGAATTTCATAAAGCAGTGGAAAGACAAGGCAATTCGAGCCATGGTCTGGGAATGTTCAAGATGCACCACTGTCCCACTGTTCCAGACGTCAATGGCACAGTTGAAAAGGAAGAATGAGGCTGCATGGAAGTACTTGGATAACCTTCAGCCCTCAAGTTGGGTGAAAGCTTATTTCAGCCACTGGCCGAAATGTGATAATATCACAAACAACATGGCAGAGGTATGGAATGCCAAGATTGTTGGATATAGGTCAAAATCGATTATCACTCTATTGGAGGAACTGGGATGCTACATTATGAGAAGGATGGCTGCACATCAGAGGGTGTTAGGAACTGTTCAGGGTAAAATTGCTCCTGCTCAACATGTTAGATTGTGTATATGAATATATTAAAAGATTTTTGGCAGAGGTTATACTTACTACAAGCATCATAATGTGTTTGTTGGATTCATGTGTTTATTTTAATTTACATAATATGAATTTATTTGTTGGATCTGATGAAATATATGTTATTTAATTTGAGCATTTTGCTTTTGAAAATGACTTAAATGCATATTGTATTAGTTTTGTTATGATTCATGATTCTGTTTGGACGTTAAAATTATGATTTTTGGTGTAGCAACAAAATTTGAGTACTTTGTAAAGTTGATTCATTGTTCTGCTTGGAAGTTAAAAATTAACAGGTTAACGGGCCAAGCCAG